TGTTCTTTCTTAAACTGAAGGTATAACTTGTGAGAGTCCCAGTTCCATGCTGGGATTTCCTGTTGTGATCCAGGTCTTGGGTGGGCCTCATGTTTTAGCACCTGTTTCCTGTATTTCATTCCATTCAGCTGTTAAAAGAGACACTAAAAGTCACTGGCATTGAAAAATATTCTTAGTGTGAAATTTGTATTTGCTGATTACTTACTTTCTCCTGGTTTCCCATCACTTTGTTTTTTGGTTTCTATGGATTCCTTCTTTTGCTGGCTTATTTTTTTTCAAAGTTTCATTTTGTTTTTGTATGTTTTGTTTTCATCAGGAGGTCAGAAGTATGTAATTGCTTCTTCACTATGAATTCTGTAACACTAATAGGTATTAAGTCTAAAATTATCTTTTGCCTAAGTTACAAAAATAGGAGCAGAACAATCAGAAAAAAACAGATGTCTTCTCTGTGTCATGTTCTCAGACAAAACCAAGGAATCCTGCTAGAGCAGGGATTCTGCATACCACCATTTTTTAACCTTTATCCCAGTTAAGAATGGCAGATTTCATAAGCTGTTGTTAGTTTTGGTGGGGTCATTCATATTTTTAAGTGTGGAGATGGAAATTATTCAGAGCCATTTCTGTTGAATGTTTATTTGTTCCACGCTCATTTTAAATCCAGGGGTGCTTGATTGCCATTATTTGACATGATGAAATTTGTCAGCCTTAAGTGAAATCCTTGAAGAATTTGTGTTTGTAAACTTTTCTAAGATGTTAAAAAGTATACAGCGAAAGTTTGGTTTTGCAGTTGATTTCTAGCAGCTATATCTATTTTAGTGTTAAAAACACTTTTGAAAACCACTCATTGGGCTGGGCACGGTGGCGCAGCTCAGGAGGCTGAGGCAGGAGGGTCATGAGTTCAAAGCCAGCATCAACAACTGTGAGGAACTAAGCAACTTAGTGAGACCCTGTCTGTAAATAAAATGGAAAAATGGAGCTGGGGATGTGGCTCAGTGGTCAAGTGCCCCTGAGTTCGATCTCTGGTATCTGCCTCCCCCCAAAAAAAACCCCACACAAACTCATTAGAAACTAGATTGTTTAGCATAATCACTTTCAATTAGTGTTAGGCTAGAAATAGGAGTTATTACGATTATTTTGGCAGAGAAAATCTTGAATATATTCCATGGGAATGCTTCTTTTGTCTCTGGAGTTCTGGGCCAGGGAGGACTCTGACTTTGGGAAGTCCCAACAGACCAGGCCTGACCACTTGCCTTAGAAATCAAATTAAAAAGTAATGAAGTAGGGAAGGAGTTCATTCAGTATAGCCACACCGGAAAGACAAGCGTAGACCAAGTGTCCTTAGCTCTGTCTTTGGGGGTGGATTTAAAAAGGGGAAGGAACTAAAGTGGGACCAAGAAGTGTACACCCTAATTAAGCAGTCTTTATCAAAACTGTGGTCTGGTTCATAATTTTTCAGGTCTGGTTCTGTGAAGTCCTGATGGCTTCTGGGTAATGGCTCCAGGGGAGTCATTACCACTTGAGGGTGCAATCTGGTTCCCATCAGGAGATGGGAAATATTTAGGGGGGTGTTTCCCATCATGCCTGAAAGGCTCACTTTTCTTGGAATCTTGAAAGTTTCTTAGTTACACTTGTCTCAGTGTCTTCAATCTAGAAGAGGAATGAGAGAAGCTAGATAAATTTAGGACTAGTTAACATTGTGTTACCAGTTTTTAGAGACTTCTAAGTGATTAGCACGTGTACATTAATTGTGTTAGGGTAGAGAGGAGACAGATAAAATGAAGGCAGAAATGTTAAGCTTTTGTCCTGCTTTTAGTTACCATCATACATCTCTAGGTCTGAGTGAACAGTTGGTACTTTAGCAAAAGCAGCCTCTAAGAAGGTCCCTATTATACTTTGCCTTTGCAGAAATCTGTATAGCAACAACATTACCATAGTAAGGTGTAGTTTACTGTGATATACTTAGTTTAGATTTATAATAAGGCAATTTTTTTTTTCTGTTTTGATCTACTGTACTCCCTCTCTCCATAACTATAATTCATGAGCTGTTGAATTGTGTTGCTTGGCATGTATTGGCTAGGATTTCCCTAGAGTTTTGTGTTCACTATAGTCGTCTTCAGAGGCATTGATAAATATGATGGAAAATAACAGAATATTAGATTAGAAGGGACTTTTAAAAAATGACATAATCTTTTAATTTCCTGAATAGTTTTAGTTGTGAAAATCTAAATTTGTATACAGGCTTTTTTGAAAACCTGATAGACTTGGAACTGAGGGTTTAGAAAAATCACCAAAGATTCTTAAATCCAGAAGGATTAAATGATGGTGATCTATAACTGTTTTTATTTTTGCATTCTTGGCTTTCTCTTTCCAGCCTTCTGAATTGGCTTATGGTTCTGCTTTGTTGTTGGGATTTCGGGGCAGTACAGTGATGATAACTCTGGGACCTCTATGCTAGTGCTTGCCAAACCAAGAAAGGGTCTTATTTTTATTTTTTTTTTTTTTTTTTTATGGCTATCCCCCCCCCCCCCGTTTTTTGTTTTTTTTCTCCTGTTATTTCTTAAGCTTTTACATAGGGCAGATCAGATTTATTAGTGTGATTATATATCTGGGAAACTGAGGCACAGTGAAACTAATACTTGACCCATAGTTGAAACTGTGAGGTTAAGGATGAAATTACATGTAGGTATATGTATATGTAAGTACAAATGGACATCTGGGGCAATTAGAATACAGAATGTGTTGCTGGAGAAATAATGTTCATGTCATTCTGTTCTTATTTCATTTTTACCCATTATATCCCATCCACGTATGGGACACTATAAAACCTTAAATTGAGCAATTTCATAGGTGTCTTATAAAAGTTTTTAGGTTTTTATAGGTGTCCTATATCTAAGATGGTGGGACATAATAGGTTAAGAAATGCTTTCCTAAAGTGTGTGTGCTGGTATTTTGTTTTTCTAGAGCGATTGAGGGTGTATTTTATTTATTTATTTTCATTATTTTATTTTATTAGGCACAGTGAAATTAATACTTGATGTTTTATGTAATAATAGTTATACATAATAGCTGAGTTTATCCTGACAAAATCATACATGCATGGAATCTGACCCATTCCATTTCAGTCTCCTCTCTCTTAACCCCCTCCACTCCACTGCTCCTCTTGCTCCTCCATTATTCATTCTTGATTGGTGCTTTCTACACACCCATAAAGGTGAAGTGCCCTAGGGCATTTATATATACACATAAGATAATTTTGTTAAATTCACTGTGCATTTTGAAGTATATTTCATGTGATAGTTCCTTCTATTTTTGTGGGGAAGGGGTTTGACTTATTCAAATGAATAATATTATCAATTTGAATTTTTAAGAACAGGTGGTAAAAACATGGGTTTATTGATTATTTTCTACATACATTAGGAAGTTTTGTGGCAGGCGCTTGAGCTGTCAGGAGTGGAAGGGGAGGACTTAACAGCATTCCACCAGTTTTGCTCAGTGCATTTTGAAGTTGGTTCTAATAATTGTAGTTGTTATAAAATGTGAACTGATACCCAGTTTTAGAAATAAATTATATTCATTAACTAGTGATTATATCAAGATTTTTACATAAAACATCAAGATTTTACGTAAAACCAAAAGTAATTTCTAAATTCAAAATTTAAGATGTTATCCTTTTATATAACAAGTGCCTGTTAGCTGAAGGATATTAGAGGAAATATTTTGGTGGGACTTGACCACCAACTCATCAGGTACCTTTAATCCATGCTTATTTTCAGTCTGGACCTGTCAGGAAGTTGACGACAGGTGCCTAACAAAGGTTTGGGCTTCCCTGGTTCAGGAGCAAGCTCAGTAAGGAAGCAGCAGATGTGAGATTCTGAGCACTGATGTGTTGTTAACCATGCCCAGTGAGTGGAGAAGGCAGGTTGTGTGTGCTGGGTCTGTATAACTCTTTCAGGTGTCATTTGTAGAATTTTTTTTTTTTTTTGCGGGGAGGGGGTAGGGGTAGGTTTGTATTTACCTGGTAGTATGCTTTCTTGGGAATTTTCAAGATAAATATATCTAGAGTTTTCTCATTCTCAGAATTGCTTTCATTTCCCTTTCGAACTTCTTTGAGAGTCCAGGTAGTGGTATTCATATGTGTGATTATCTAGACTGGTGCTCTTGGCCTTGGTTCTTCCTTCTCACTTTCACAAGTTCTTCGGGGACCTCAGGTGCACAGAACTGAGTTGATCCTACTTTTAAGGCCATGGCACATTGTGGAAGGTTCTTTTATTGGATTTTATTTTATTTTTTCCTTCTTGTCCTCCATCTCCAATTCCATGTCCCATTCCTCTTCTAACACGCACTCAGATGTGTTGAATGTGTGTAGATAGATAGAATAGTGTTTTGTTAATTTTTAAAATTTAATTACATTCTTGAAATTTATTCATATACGTCTGTGTAAGTCTATTTTTTAAAAAAATTCTGGCTTTTCCATGTAGTATGTTGTCAGATCTTATAAATCTCTTTCCCCAATGGTCAGTTCTTGAGTCATAAATGATATTGCAATCAACATTCTTGCTACCTTTGACTCTGGGTGAAAACTTCTCAGTTAAAAACTTATTAGCCTACAGAATTGCTAGCCCATTGCATAAGTGCTTATTTCATTTCACAAAGTTTCAGCTCTTGAGATGGCTACTATCAAATTCTGCTCCTGTTTGAATACATGATTCAGTAGGAGCTTTCATTCATACTTAGAGAAAAGGAACACATTAGGAATAAAATTCCTTGACTGAGGTTTTGGTTTCATGGCAAAGTTCCTGTAAGCTAGTTTTCAGTCATATTAAAAACCGTTATTCTTCTCTTCAATATCATCCTTCATTTTCTTTCAATAATGTGAGGTTAGTATGATAGGAGAATAGATGCAGTCTTTTAAAGGATATCTCTGTAATGCCTATATAATTGGACAAGGTTATGGAAATGCTGTAAGTACTAAGATTTTTTTTAAAATTTTCATTTTACAGGGCGCCAATGCCTCGGCATTAGAGAAAGAGATTGGTCCAGAACAGTTTCCAGTAAATGAGCACTATTTTGGATTAGTCAATGTAAGTATCCATTGATACTTAGCTTTCAGAATCATGTTTGGAAGCCAGTTAAGAAATGATGAATGTACTTCATAATTTATTACAGAAAAAATGATGATTGGTATTATTAGAATTTGATGCCAAGAGACTTGATTTACAGTTGTAAAATGATGAATGGAAAGGAAAGTTGCCTGAAGTTTTAGAATAGTTTCTTGTTAGCTTCATTTTTCCTATTTTGTGAAAAAAGTTTCTCGTAACCAAACTTGCATCTATGGTGTAGACCAGGTGATCTCTTGATTTTTTTTTTTTTTTTTTTTTGAGAATTATTTAACTAGAAATAGTATGCATGTACAGGTACATAAATATAGCTATGTAAATGCCTCCATGCATCCAAAGGGTATTTGTTAGTTTACTTCTGGCATAACCAGTGCTAGCTAGATATATATGAAGGTGCAAAGTAAAGGGAAAGTATGCATTCCTATCTTTGTGGTAATAATTGTAATTATGCATTATTAAAATTCTGGAAAAACTTTAGAATTTTTAACCCTGAATGTTGTTGATTCTGAATCATTGGAGATTACCACATATCTGTTATATAATTGTTGTGTTAGTTTATTTAATACTGTTGTATATCCTGTTAGGTGGAGCCATAGAGAATGTTTTAAAAATTACCAGTTTTACAAAAACTGGTAATGGGTTCTATTGAATAAATTGGTGTTTCATTAAATATGCGTATGTAATTAGGATGTGTATGAGATGAATTTGTCTTGGAGTTTCCCTCTTGCTTTGGGAATCATCTGCGTGTGCTTTGTGTATAGAGTTTGTAAGGAAGAATCCACAGTCCCTATCCTTCTTTCCCCTCCACAGAGCAGGCTGCTCATTACTCCTTCAGCTGGTTCTTTTCTAAAACTTCTTGTAATGTTCTGAATAAAGTGCTTATACTGCTGCCCCTCCCCCCAATAAATATATTGATTTCAGAAATTTTGTCCTCTCCTCTACCTAAAATTTCACTTTCTTCTATATGTTTATATAGTAATTTTTAGTTTAGCCAGTGTTCAGTGGTTTTTTTTTTTTTTTTTTTTAATATTTTTTGGACGTCGATGGACTTTTATTTCATTCATTTTATATGCGGTGCTGAGAATTGAATCCAATGTCTCACACATGCTAGGTGAGTGTACTACCATTGAGTCCCAGCCTCAGCCCCAGTGTTCAGTGTTTGAGCTAAGTTATACATGATTGTATTTTCTTCCCTTTTGAATGACTTTGTTTTCTTAGAACCTAGTAATCCATACTTTATTTTTCTATGTTCTTAATTTTTGTTTGTTCTTCCCAAAGTCATCAACAGAACTAAAATATACAAATAAAATACCCACCACCGCTGAACAGATCTCACCGCCAGTTTACACTGAGTCCTACCCACCAGATAAATTCTCAGTACTCAGATTCCCTTGCTCTGGATCCTTCTGTCCTGTTCCTGCTGGGTGGACCCTGTGCCTGCCTGGAAGTCTTTTCCCCCACTCTAGATGTTCCCTGTACCTTTTCCTTTTTTCTTAGATTCCCTGTTTGCCTGTTTGATTTTCTTCCTGGCTTTGTAGAACACATTCTGAAATCGCTTCTTTAAGAAATATGCATGGGGGATAAACTTTGATGTAATGTATATTTAAAATTTTTTCGGTTATTGTTATGGCTAGGTATGGATTCCCAGAATTTTTAAGGCATTACTTTTGCTTTTTGGCTTCTTCCTGTCAAAAGGTCTGATATCATTCTGATTCTTGATGTCTTCTGAATGTGACTTTTTTGTTTTAAAACTTCTTGGGGCTTTTAGCATTTTCATCATCTATAATATTTTATAGTTTGATGATGTGTCTGTGTCTCCCTCCCCATTATTGTGATGGGTATTTATGGTCCCATTTAGACTAAAGACTCATTTTCTTCAGTTCTAGAATATTTCTGATACTGTTATTTGGCTAATTTCCTCCCTGTCAATATAATTCCTTTCTGCTTTTTAGATATCCTGTTAGTTGCATGTTGAAATGTTTAGACTTGATTTCTCCAGTTGCTTATTTTGCTCCCATTTTGATCATTCGCCTTTTTGTTCTACATTTTAGATAGTTTATTCTGCTTTTCCCCCCCAAACTCTGCACTTTTTATTTCTTAGAATGTTACTTTTATTTTTAAGTGTTTTGCAAAGGTGATGTTATTATTTTTCTCTGGATATCATTGCTGAGATTTCTATTATGATTACAGGATTATTTTTGAGACCTCTGAGCTTTTCCCTGTTTTAAGCTGTTTTATTTATTAAGCTTTCCCTAAGTTTTATTCATGTAGAAAAGTGCTATTCTGAGAAGCTGATTGGAGGCTTTGTGCATTAGGTTGGTGCTTGTTCAGCATGGGTTTCACTCTAGGGTAACTTCCTAGCAAAAAGGGCTTTAACAACAAAAAAAAAAAGCTCCTGAGCTACTTTGTCCCCTTCCCTTTTCAGTACTAGAGACCATTTTTCTGAGGCTTTCTTCCCCTTCTGTTGGGAGGATTCCTCCACTATATGCCTAGAAGTAGCTTAATTCTAGGTTTTATTAATACTCTTTGCTATTCAGTGTATCTCTCTGCAGTCCTCTGTCATGGAACCGAAAGGCTCTTGCTCAGCTTCTGTAGAGACTAAACCTACAATTGTCTTCTGCAGCACTGAAAGAAGGCTTAAAGTGGATTTGTGTTTTTAAGACACCTTTCACTCCCAGTTCCTAAGCCTTCAAGTGTCAATCTACTTTCTCACTTCTCTCCCCCTTCCAGGCACTTGGGATTCGTTTTCCCTCCTGTCTGCCTTCTACTGAAGTTTGCTGACCTCTGTAGTCTGTAGTTGTTTTCTTTATTGCAGTCTTTGGACTTTTGAGTTTTTACCTAATATCCCTTTACTATCATTTTACTGGGATTTCACAAGAAGTAGAGTTAAGTGATATGGTTTAAAATTTCTCTTATTTAACAAGAAGTCTGGCCTCTACTTCTAATGTTTAAATTGTTCATGCTTACAGATATGCTTATGAACAGAACTGTCTAGTGATCAAAAGCCTCATTTAAATTCTGGGGATGGCAAAACCCTCTCATTATTATTTCCCTATGACTAACCACTTTTATTAGATTTAGACTCCAAAGCTAATATGTGTTTTATGTGTACTCATTTCTATAAAACTCCTGTTTGAAATTTAATTGCAATTTTAATAGTGTTGAGAGGTAGGATGTTAAGGAGGTGACTAAGAGCCTTCATGAATGGATTATTGCCCTTACTTTGGGAGTGGGTTGGTTATTGTGGGAGTGGGCTAGTTGTATCCTGATAAAAGGGGACATTGGCCTCTGTCGTCCCTCTGTCTTGTGTACTTGCTTGCGTTTTTGGCCCTCAGATGATGGAGCATGGAGACCTTTACCAAACGCTGGCACCATGCTTGGGTTTCCCAGCCTCTAGAACTAACAGTCAAATAAACATCTTTTCTTTATAAATTACCAGTCTGTAGGATTCAGTTATAGCAGTAGAAAATAGACTAAGGTAGTATCCCAGAAGAGCTTATTTTCTTTGGAACAAGAATACTTTGTATAACAAAGCCTGTTTAATTTTCTCCCATGTAAATATTTCAGTTTCTTCATTTTATACCCAGCTATTTTTTTTTACAGATAGCCTGAGAACAAGTAAAATCAATCTTAGAAATAATTAGATAAAATGAGTTCTAAGCTGATAAAATATTTTTCTGCTGTTTTTAACATAATATGATCTCAGTATCACTGATGATCAGTAGTACTATCACATTCTCATTAAACTGACATTCAGTAATACTAGTGTTAATTACATAAAATAAGGATTTTGTAAAAGGCATCCTTTTTATTACTCCCCATGGATCAGTCTATACAAAGGGCAGTGTTTGTGTGTTTCCAAAAAGCCAAGTAATAGTAAAACCAAGAGAAGCAGAGGGAATAAAGTTAGGAAGAGACAACCACCAGAGGAAACTTGATTTTCTTCCTCAGAGAGATTAATTTCATTTCACGATTTTTTTTTTTTTAACCAGGAATTGAACTCAGGGGCACTTGACCCCTGAGCCACATCTCCAGCCCTATTTTATATTTTATTTAGAGACAGAGTCTCACTGAGTTGCTTAGTGCCTTGGAGGGAGGCTAGCTTTGAACTCATGATCCTCCTGCCTCAGCCTCCTGCACCGATGGGATTACAGGCATGTGCCAGTATGCCCAGCTGATTTTTTTTTTTAACAAAATATAATTTCTGGTTTTTACATCTTGTTATTACACAAAATCCTGAGATCTCTCGGGACCATCTATTACAGATGGATGAGTGCCTTGAATGTGCTCAGAAAGTAATTAGTCACCAGAGGACATGTGCTGAAGTGGTAGTGGGATTAACTTTGATTTATACTGTCAGGCTTCTTTGCAATTGTGTTCTTTGCCTTTAACCATTTCTCTATAATAGTCTTTAAAAAATTTATCTTTTTAGTTGTAGGTGGACACAGTACCTTTATTTTATTTTTATGTGGTGCTGAAGATTGAACCCAGTGTCTCACGCATGCTATGGGAGTGCTCTTTCTCTGAGCCACAACCCCAGCCCCTCTATAATTAGTCTTTATTTTTCAGCTTCTGAATTATCGCCATGTTCTTTCTTCTCTTACCTATCCCTTTATTTGAAGGTTATCACACTACTTAACTCAAGGTTATAACTTTTTTCGGGGGAGAGTGCCTTAGTTAAATCAGAGGTCAACATTTTAAGTAATTTTCATCCTGTCCTTTTACCTGTCTGCCAAATGGCATTATAAACAATAACGGTATGTAGGTGCTTTAGGAAACTTTGTGGTTGATCTTTTCTAACAACTGGATTTTGTTAAAGTGAAGAGTATATATATTTGTTTCATCAATCTGTTGATATCTAATTGTACATTTCCAGGCTTAATTTCTTTTATAAAAAGTATATACAGAAAGGTGCTGTTAAATTTGCCTGATTATATCCCTTTTTTTAGCCAGTGAGTGGTAGG